GACTCTGAAGCGTCTACTTCCATAACAAAGGGAAGAGAAGGATCAGGGTGGTGCAGCACTGGAGCAGAGGCAAATGCCTTCTTGAGGGTTTCGAAGGCCTTAAGGGCTTCAGGAGTCCAAACCCTAGGGTGTAGACCTTTTTTTGTCAGCTTCGTTATAGGAGAGATGAGTGGTGAAAAGTTTTTTATAAATTTCCTATAATAGTTGGCAAATCCTATAAAACGCTGGATAGCCTTCAGTCCTTGGGGAAGTGGCCAGGACAGTATAGCTTCCAATTTAGCAGGATCCATACTGAAACCCTGTTCAGTAATGATATATCCTAGGAATTGCACAGAGGTCTGATCGAATAAACATTTTTCTAACTTACAGTAGAGTCCATTCTGCAATAGCCTTTTGAGCACCATCCTAACATGGTTATGGTGTGACTTCAAATCAAGAGAATACACAAGTATGTCGTCAAGGTACACCACAGCACAGACATGCAATAGATCCCTAAGGACATCATTTATGAGGTCCTGAAACACGGCAGGAGCATTACACAGTCCAAAAGGCATGACCAGATATTCGTAATGCCCACTGCGTGTGTTGAACGCTGTCTTCCACTCGTCATTCTCCTTTATACGGACAAGGTTATAAGCCCCCCTGAGGTCTAATTTGGTGAAGAATTTAGAACCTTTAACACGATCAAACAACTCAGTGATGAGGGGGATAGGGTAGGCGTTTTTAACCGTTATATTGTTCAGACCCCTGTAGTCTATACATGGCCTCAAATCGCCCTCCTTCTTTGCCACAAAAAAGAAACCAGCACCAGCAGGAGAGGAGGACCTTCTAATAAAACCTTTACTTAGGGATTCCCGTATGTACTCCTCCATGATCTGGTTCTCTTTTTCAGAAAGAGGGTAGACCTTTCCCCTAGGAGGCATAGTACCCGGTAAGAGGTTTATGGCACAATCATACTCACGATGTGGAGGTAGCTTATCTGCCTCCCTCTTTTCAAAAACCAAGGCAAGGTCTGCATAAACAGAAGGGACAGAAACCGAGAGTGGTTTAGCCGTGGGCACGTTAAGTAAACAAACAGGACGTACATGAGCCATACAGTCTCGTTGACAAGATTCCCCCCAGGAGAGTATATCTAAACAACCCCAATCAAGAACAGGGTTGTGTTTAACTAACCAGGGAAAACCCAGAACGATGGAGGCTGTAGGGGAGTCAATTATTTGGAAGGTTAACTTCTCCTTGTGCAAAACACCCACAGACATAACTATTTCATGGGTTTCATGGGTCACCAGAGGTTTCTCCAGTGGTCTACCATCTATGGCCTCAACGGCCAAGGGTGTCTCCCTTCGGATCAAATTCAGGGCTGCGGTTTTGGCAAAGGTCTCATCCATAAGGTTGTCTGCCGCACCCGAATCGATCAGGGCTTTGGTTGTTATAGTGGTTTTATTGACCAAGAGAGAAACCGTAATAAACGGTCTGGAGATGGACATATGAGGGGACAAAGTCATAACACCCGAGGCCGACCCCTCTCTAGGCCTTAGGTGCTGCAGTTTCCCTGTACTTTAGGGCAGGCTTTACAGTGATGCCCCCTCTTCCCACAATAAAGGCATAACCCCTCCCTTCTACGGTACGCTCTTTCGGCCTCAGTTAACCCCGTAGCACCCAACTGCATGGGTTCAGGGGATGGTTGCCTAGGAGCGGGTAACGCTAGCAGTGAAGTACTGGGTAGAGCAGGTAACACCCGTGTATCCAACCGTCTTTGACTACGCCTCTCTCTAATACGGTTATCGATAAGAATCACAGTCTATGACATCATCTAGAAGAGCAGGCAATTCCCTGGATGCTATTTCATCCAGTATATAAGCGGCCAGACCCTCCTGAAAGGCTGTTACGAGGGAGTCATTATTCCAAACCACTTCAGCTGCTAGAGTACGGAATTCGATAGTGTAATCTGCTACAGATCTGTTACCCTGTCGGACCCTAAGCAGAGCCTTGCCAGCAGAAGCAACCCTACCGGGTTGATCAAACGTGCGTCTGAAAGCTGTCAGAAAATCTGCAAAGGACATAGGAGACGTATTTTCCCAAATGGGGTTGGCCCATGCTAAAGCTCTCCCGGACAAGTGGTTTATCAAAAAGGCAATTTTAGATCTGTCAGTGGGATAGGAACGTGGATTCATCACCAAATGGATGTCGATTTGGTTGAGGAAACAACGACACAATGCTGGGTCACCGCTGTAGCGCTGTGGTGGCGTCATGTGAACTACATGAGCGGGAACAGGTACTGCAGTGGGAATGGGTTCGGGCACAGCAGCAGCAGCCTCCTGAACGGCAGGTTGCAAGTGTGCAGTACGAGCCAGTATGGTTTGCAAAGCTTGAGCAAACTGATCCATACGGTGGTCCAAGCCAACCATTCTAGCCTCTTGATTAACTAGGAGCTGTGGTATGTCAGCAGGTTCCATTATGGCCCTGTTGTAATGTCACGATTCGGGGAACCCAACACGCTGGCACACACACACACAAAAGGTGCCGTACCGGACCTTAGAGTGGCCGGGCTAAGCACACACAGAATAGTCAGGAAACAAGCCGAGTAAGGGGAACCAGAAGACAGAATAACGTGAAACGAGCCGAGGTCAAAGGGTAGGAGAAAGTCACAGAGTCAGATAAACAAGCCAGAGAGTACGTAACCAGAAGCTAGTTACTTGCTGTTGATTGCTGGTTAAATAGCTATTGTTTGCAAATAAGCAGAGGCCTACCCAGGTGTTAAACATTCCTAGTGGGCGGTGATTTTAGGAGTTATATAAGGCCTGGTTCCATTAGCTTGTCTAATATAGCTTGGTGCTACTTCTAAGTGCTGTTTCTAAGTGTGTAGCTGGAGATATTACAGAGAGTTTTACAGAAGCTTCAACTGTCTAAGAGTTGTGCTAAGAGCTTTCTTTTTCTACTGTTACAGGTAAGATTCATCTGTAGGAAAAGGTTACACTGGGTGCACAAGGTTTGAATTCCTGTTAGTAGTATAAGGCCATTTGATTTGAGATTAAACTAGTTGCATATTTGATTGCTGGTTGGCAAGCTATTGTTTGCAAATAAGCGGAGGCCTACCCAGGTGTTAATCATTCCTAGTGGGCGGTGATTTTAGGAGTTATATAAGGCCTGGTTCCATTAGCTTGTCTAATATAGCTTGGTGCTACTTCTAAGTGTGTAGCTGGAGATATTCTGGAGATAACCTGGAGGTAATCTGAGGTATTTAGGAGGATAAAGAAAAAAGTTAAGATTTTTTAGATTTAAATTATTCTTATAATTGGAATGGCAGGCTTAGTTCAGTGTAACAATTGCTATGCATTTGTTTCACGTTCCACTTTTTGGAGGTTTGGTTGTTGTCTAATCTGTAGACAGTTCTCTATCTTGCGGCAGGAGGTTGTATTTTTGAAGTCTGAGATTTGTAAATTATCTGGTGAAGAAACTCAGACTGGAACTGCTGCAAAGCCACTGCCGCAGAGACATGCTAGGAAAGGCAGATGGATTACTGTAGGATCTAGTAGACTTAGAGTTGTGGATAAAAGGCATTTTGCACAGTCTGTTGCTCTTCATAATTCATTTTCTGCACTCAGAGTGTAATGTGGTGTTGTGGAGAAGGCACTGAGCTATTGAAGTAATTGTTGTAGAGAGGAGGCACTGAGGCTAGTGGTATTGTGGAAAGGCTGGTACAATTGTTGTGGAAGAGGCACTAGAGGCTAGTAATTGTTGTGGAGAGAGAGCACTGAGGCTAGTGGTGTTGTGGGAGAGAGAGCACTGAGACTAGTGTGGTGTTGTGGAGACGGCTTGGAGACTATGGTGAGGCAGTTGTTGTTAGGTGATTCCATTATAAGAGGTGTGGAGATGGACAATGGTAGTGCTTGTGGGGTGTCTTCCGGAGCTACTGCTCACAGGGGCAGAGAGGCGTATCTGTAATATTGTTAAGCGAGCAAAGCAGGAAGGGGAATTGGATGTACTTGTCCATCTAGGGACAAATGACTTGGCTTGCAATGAGGTTTCAGAGGTTAAGGAAGTTTTTAGTATTTTTGCCAATGATATACGGCAGGTTGCTTCCACACTGTCATTCTCTGAAGTTCTGCCTGTGCATAACACTCAAAACGACAGGCAGATGCATATTAGGGACTTTAACTTGTGGCTTGGTGAATGGTGTCGGGAGCAAGGATTTGGCTTTATTTCTCATGGTAGCTCTGTTTGGAATGGAAATAACCTGTACAAAAAAGATGGTTTGCATCTTTCTCAAAAGGGAACAAATGTTCTCAGTGAGCAGTTCAGAGGTTTTTGCTAGGATGTATTTAAACTAGGAG